AATGATGATGATGCAGATGATGAGGATGGTGTAGAGGCTGAGGATCTTGGGTTGGATGCACAAAAGCGAAAACAGCAGGCTACAGATGAGAGGGATTATGAGGAAGATTCTGAAGAGGAACTGAATGAAGGGGCTTCATCAGCTGGATTTGTAAGTGAAATTGATCAGGCAGAGAATGATGATGATGATGAACATGATGAGAGTGAAAACGAAATTGATCAGGCTGAAAACGAGAATGAAATTAGTAAGGATGAAACCTCTGAAAGTCTGTCACTCCTTGAAGAACCCCCTACGCCAAGTTCAAGCAAGAAGAAGGCCAAATCAGAGGTCAAACGAAAGAAGAAGGCTAGAGCAAAATTAGTGAAGAAGGAAACAGATAGAGCAATATATGTGGCAGCAAAGGGATACCACTTCGAGGTTCATTTTAAATTTATAAATGAACCTCATATTTTACTCGCTCAGGTACATGTACATTTCCATATTCTCTGGTCTTTAATCGTAGTAATGCTTATTTTTATAGCTTATTGAGAGGGCAAACTTATTGTAGTTGAACTTGTTCAATTTATTTCTTAATGAGTTCAAATCACATATACATGTTGGAGGAGAATATATCAGAAAAGCCAATATCGTCTCTTGCTTATAGTGCATGTTGTTTAGCACTTTTATGTTAATTACTGTACATTCGTTTGATCCTTGCCCTAAGGTGAAACTTGCTCTTGTTTTGTCATTTGCAGATTGCACAGAATACAGCCAAGAAGGTTGCCATCCAGAGCTCTGGAAAGATAGAACAGTGTAGGGTTACTAACTGCAAAGAAAATCAAGTGATTTACTATGGAAAAGATCCCAAAAAAAGGGTTAAAATGGAGCCTGAAGAAAAAGAAAAAATTCCGGCAATCAGTACAGCAGGAGTAGATTTCAATGCATTATGGAAATTACAAGATTATCTTGATATCAGGTACTTATACTCCAACAACATTCAAGCAATGCTAGAAACATATGGAGTGGAAGCAGCAAGAGAAACCATCATTGGGGAGATAAATCATGTTTTCAATTCTTACGGAATATCTGTCAATATTCGCCACCTAAGTCTGATTGCCGACTTTATGACCCATTCGGGTGGGTATCGACCAATGAGCCGACTTGGGGGCATTGCAGAATCAGTATCGCCTTTTAGTAAAATGACTTTTGAGACAGCTTCAAAGTTTATTGTTGAGGCAGCATATTATGGGGAGGTGGACAAGTTAGAGACTCCATCTGCTAGGATCTGTCTAGGCTTGCCAGTGAAGGTGGGTACTGGATCTTTTGATTTGATGCAAAAATTAGAAATTTGATGTACTTCAAAAGACGAGTTCTGTTGTTAAGATGTGTTCACAAATTTTGAAGTGTAAAATTTTTTTGGCCTGTAGTGTATGGGATGAGTGTGTTGTATCTTCTAATTTGAGAAAATTGATCAAATTGAGATATAAATCGGGAGTTTTCTTCTGATGTTTTTGTTTGCGATGATTTAAACAACTTTCTTCAACACAAATATCAATATTAGACATAGCCAAAATATTTAAAAACAAACATTCCAAAAAATTTTTAATCCTATAAATAATATAAACTTTTGTACTATTAATAGTCTCTTTACAAATTTGTATCTAAACTAGTATCAGTTAAATTAAACATTATTTTTAATAAGTACAAGGTGAGGGTTAGTTGGCTTAGGGAAGGAGACCAAAACACGGTCTTCTTCTTCAAAACCATTAAATGGAAAAGAAATAGGAGTAAGATATTTTCTTTAGTTCTTGAGAATGGTGATGTGGCTAGGGGCAATGTTAGAATCAAGGAGTTTGCGGCGATATACCAAAATCTTTTTTTGGGAGAAGGAGCTTAAAAGAAATTTTGAAGTCCATGACGAGTTTATAGCTCCTTGCATAAAAGATGACGAGAAGATGTTCATGGAAGCTGAGGTAACTAGGAAGAGATTAAAAGAATTATTTTTGAGCTTGGTAATAATAAAGTGCTAGGTCCCAATGGATATGGTACATATTTTTTAAAACAAACTTGGAACATAATGGGAGAGGATGTTATGGAGGCTATTCAAGGTTTTTTTAGATCATGGGGAGATCCTTAAGGAAATTAATTGTACAATTATAGCCCTCGTGTTGAAATGTGAGAACCTATCCACTTGTCATGACTTTAGACCAATTTCTTATTGCAACATGATTTATAAATGCATCTCGAAGATTATTGCAAATAAAATCAAGGATGCCCTCTCGGGCTTTATTGATCGAGACCAAATCGCTTTTGTTAAAGGTAGGAAGATTGGGGATAAGATTTTTCTTTGCCAAGAGTTGGTGCGCCATTATGGGAGGAAATCGGCCAAGAGTAAGAAATTTGTCTTGAAAGTTGATATGATGAAAGCTTACGACTCGGTGAATTGGGACTTTATCATCGAAATCCTTATGAGGTATGATTTCCCTCCTAAAGTTGCTCATTAGATTGAGGTTTGCATTAAAACACCTATGTTTTCTATTGCCATTAATGGGGAGTTGGGAGGTTTTTTTGGTAGCTCTAGAGGGTTGAGGTAAGGGGACCCAATCTCATTGTATCTTTTTGTGATGGTTATGGAAGTTCTCTCTCCGATCCTTGGGAAAGTGGCAAGGGACCCTAATTTCAAATTCCACCTGAGGTGTAGTGCGGAAAACATTACACATCTTTGCTTTGTGAATGATCTCATGATTTTTTTGTAATGGGGACATGATTTCTATTGGGTTAATTAAGTAAGCTTTGGGAACTTTCAATGAATGGTCGGGGGTTGGAGGCTAACACTAGTAAAAGCAACTTGTTTTGTTTTGATGCCTCAAAGGAGGAAAAAGCGAATATTTTGCAGGTTATCAATTTTATAAAAGGAAATCTCCTGGTTTGGTATTTGGGCGTCCCTCTTATTACAAGTAAATTGAAGTATGTTGATTGCAAAATTCTTATTGACAAAATCCTTACAGGGATTAATTCTTGGAGTAGTAAGTTTTTGTCTTATGTGGAACGAGTCATTCTCATCAAAGCTATCTTGTGGAGCATCCAAGTTTTTTGGTCCTCAATTTTTATCCTTCACTCGAGAGTGCACAAGGAAATTGAGGCCTCCCTTAGGGCTTTCTTATGGTTCGAGTTGGATTTGAGGAAAACTAAAACAAAGATTGATTGGGAAGATATATGTGTTCCAAAGGAGGAAGGGGCATTATGAGAACTAAGGAATGGAACAAGGCAGCTATGATGAGACATATTTGGAACATTGCCCAAATTAATCCCTCTTCAGGATGGGTCTCTTGGATAAAAACTTATCTACTTAGGAACAAAAGTATTTAGGAAATTCCCATTCCCCATGATTGCTCTTAGGCTTGGAAGAGTATTCTTAAGCTTAGATGTGAGGCTAGGTTGAGAATCAAGTGTGAGGTTGGTGATGAGAGACATATTTGGCTTTGGCATGATAATTGCACAATCTTGGTCCGTTTGCCCTCAAATATCGTCCTCGAATTATTTACAAATTCGGTTTATCTAATGAAGCCCGAGTTAGTGAGATTTGCGATCAAGGTGAGTGGAAATGATCAGTGGCAAACTCTTGTGCAGTGTTGAAAATGAAAAGGTTGGTTAATTTCAATCCCACCATGAGGGAGGATAGAATTGTTTGGATCCCATTTATGACCAAGGGTTTCTCTATTAGTTCGGCATGGGATGAAATAAGGCTAAGGAAAACTAAGGTTGATTAGTCCCATCTTGTGTGGTTCCCAAAATCAATTCCAAGACATGCTATGATTCTTTGGATGACTATCAAAGGGAAGCTCAACACAAAGGATAAGCTTGAGAGGTATGACATTTCGCAAAACTCGTTGTTGTTTTTGAAATTTGCCCCAAGAAAACTTGGATTATCTCTTTTTCTCTTACCCTTTCTCTAACTTTATTTGAAGCCAAATCCTTGCCATTAGCTCTATGGGCTATAGGGCGATGCCATGAAATATTTATATTCATGACTTTATCTTAAATTGGAAGAGAAAAAAGCTCAAGTATTTTTTTGGTGAAGTTGTGTTTTAATGCCACTATCTATTGGATTTGTAAAGAGAGAAACAATAGGGTGTTTGAAGGAGAGTGTAAAGATGCACTAACCATCCACAATATCATTTAGTGGTGAGAGATAGAGCCATGGAGCTTAGGAGGATGAAGAGGACCACGGGAAATAGAAGCTTTGTGCAAATTTGGGGGTTAACGATGTTTATTTTTTATGGGTGATCATTCTGGGTTTTGTGATCTTGGTGGTGGTAGGGTCCTAGGACAAACTTATTATTGAGGCTTTTTGTTGAGCACATGGGGGTCAATGAGAGTAGCGGTGTTTTTTTTGGCTCTAAAGAGTTGGGTTAATCAAGGAAGACCCTGGGGAAGTTTTCATGCTTTGGGGAGGGGTGGAAGTTGGTGAAAGGCGAGTGTCAAGGCAACTGTCTTTTTTGATGGTGCTGGCGCCTGTGTGAGTGCAGGAACTAGCGCTTGTGCGCACAGTATTGGACGTGCTAGTCTGCATGCATCTGCACTAGGGGCATATCAAATGGTTTTTTTCGGTTTGTTGGCCACTTTTTCGATCATTTATGATTTTTTTGAATGTTTCTGCAACCCAAGGCATAAAAAAAGAATTTAATTACAAAATTTTGTTCGATGCCTTGGGCTTTTGGCGTCGCATGTGGAGTCTTTGCCTTTTCAATTCGGGGGGCGGGTGGTTGTTGGGATTTTATCACCTATTTAGACATTGTCTTCTGACTCTCTTTGGTTTTATTCCTAACCCGGGGCATGTCCTGACTCCTGAGGTAAGAAGAGTTTTTCGTGTATTTACATAGTCTTATATAGACTATTTTATTTAGGTCCTAACCCAAGGGATTGTCCTGAGACAGGCTGGCCTCCTTTTATACAATTTTTTTTTTTTTCTTTTCTAATGAAAGCTTACCTATAAAAGCTTGACCATAGACTACTCACTATTTTTTGCAATATAAAAGTTCATTATTTAAAATCCAACTGTTAAGCTGGCAGTACACAACACAATTATTCAATAGAGGCAGAATAAAAAAACAACATATATTCATCTCCAGTAAAGTCTATAACCACATTGGAGAAGTTGAACATCAAAGTTTAGCTCTTGGAGGTGGAACAGGAAAAGGAAATGAACAAAAAGAACCCCCAAAAATCACTTGCAGCAAAGATCTTTTACTACAAGTTATGGACATAATGGGTGTAATTTGTTATCACCAACTCATACTCACCCAAAAACCGAAACATTATATGATGTTCAACATGTAGAGGGTTCAGCTCCATCATGGAGCGCACAACAAACGGTTGCTTTGTGGTGCCCTTGATACACCCTTATGTCTTCACCATTTGACATGGACCAAAGTCTTGCAGTTGCGTCAGAAGACGCTGCATACATTAAAAGATACAAGCATTTTATCAAAATGATCAACATGGCAAATAATAATCATATTTGTAACTTGAAAACTCACTACTCAATGTGGAGGTCCACATCTGTATGAATCTGAGTGGTTCGATAATTCTACAAACTATTATACTTGAGCATGAAAAACTTTCTAGAAATTAAAGAAAGGGTAGTAAAAAGGGCAAGTCTATTCCCGAAGACCAAAGTTCTATTAGATCATCAAACTCTAAACTAATTTCCTTTCCTTCTAATTGATGCTTACACACGAGAGCTAGATGACTTCATAGTGTGGTTTGATTGAAAGTAAAACCGTAATTACTCAGATTTAATCCAATGAAAGTTGCTTAAGTAATTAGTAGTAACTCAAGTTATAGATTTTATTTAAACAACCAAAATACCTGTTATGAGATAGGCACCATCTACTGAGAAAACACAGTCCCATACCCATCGTTGATGCCCTGTATAACAAATGAAACAAAAACAAAATTTAGTATTGGCTATATAGAAATAAATCTAGTCACTTGAGTAGGCCCTATAAAACAACGACTTCAAAGAATACCTATCAAGGTTTTCTCTAACGTGAAACCGTCAACATTCCAAATCTTGACAGTGCAATCGGAGGATGCAGTGGCCAGATATCTAGAAATAAAACATAAACACTTATTACATTAATATTGACTCACAGCAAGATTACTAAGTAGGACAGAAGTAAATATATGGGGAATGAGGAAACAGTACCGATGGGGTTCACAAAACTCAGGAGAAAGGAGACATTTGAGAATGTATCCACTATGTGCTTGCAGCTTATGAAGTGGCTCAAAGTTGGTCATAGTCTGCCAGAAAAGTGAATAGTGAGATGTAGCAGGAGTCAAATCTGATATACAGGGTAACATCACATGGTTGATTTGCATGAAAATGCTACCTGGGTCCCTCGCATCAAGCGCCAAACATAACATGTTCCATGATTATTAGCAGCAACCACCATGCTCCCGTCCCACATAACTGTTAAAGACCTTACAGCTGTATCCACCTCTGGCACCTAGGTTAGCAGCATATATTGGTATAAAAAGGTATACCGATAAAATACGACAATAAATTTACTAGGTAGCTCCCATTTTCAGGGTGCATGTTTGTTTGGGTGTGTGAATGAGTGAGAGAAGAAAATAGTATTATTATTAAATGTTTTTATATATCTGTTTCCTATATATCTGTTTCCTGTTTTTGGTTTTTGTTTATTTAGAGAAGGATAGAATGCAATGGCAGACCCAAAGCCTAAGGGTCATTTTCTTAATGATAGTATGGGCCAAGAAGCCTCAATACCTATTTGAATTAGGGCAAACCAGCTCTTGTATGGGAGGAAATCCATTCCAGTGAATCAAGATACCATAACAGTACACATATAGATACATCAGGAAGATAAAATAGAAGTCCTCAATCCATATGGATTTGTTTCTCATCCACACACAATCCAATTGCCTCCGCCTTTTGTATTAATTTTCATTGAAGAATTAACTTTCAGAAGAAACTTGTTCTCCTTTAGTAAAGTTATTGGAAGACGCCATGAAATTTCACCTTGTTTGAATATGGTACTGACTGTTTGGCACTCTGATTCAAATGAATTTGAAACGTGTTTAAAATAAAAGAACAAAAATTACCAATTCACAACTACATGAATTTGCTGTCAAATCCCACACACGAATATTTCCATTCTGGTCTCCAGATATCAGTTCCGTCTGCAAAACCACAGAAATAAACTTATAACAAGATATTAAACTAACAAGCAAAAGCACAGCATCATATAGAGAAAGAACATTTATGGAAAAACATAGATAAAATAAGAAGAAAAATTTATCAAAAAAATTGTGATAGAAAAAAAAGAGAAGACGTCACATCTCAGTGAACCCATTTTACATCACGGCTGACATCAGCATTGCTATCAAGAGCTTGTTAGTCAATATATCTCTAATTAATAGAATCAAATTCCTGATCCAAACATCAAAACACAGGCAGTGAAAGGCAAATATCAGGAGAATTTGCTTTCGTTTCTCTTATATGACAGTCCCCTCAAGATAAAGAAGGGGCAGTTCAGGAATCTGCAAAAACGTGCCAGCTAATTCAAATTCACATCTGTCAAAATAGACCAATATAGAAAAATAATCATCCGAAAAATATTTGACAAGTACATTTTGTTAACATTTACTCAGCACGATTTCAAAGCTGTTATTATAAGCTAATCTTTCCAATGTCCCTCATAACAACTACACTAGGAGAAATCAATTTGGCACTTTAACCTTCACACACGAGATCAGTGAATCAAAATTTCAAAAGAAAATACCGTAATCCAAAATGATTGAAAGCAAGTCAGGACAGACAGAAAAAGGAAACTTGTAACTACAAAATGGCAACTCAAATTCTCACTACAACAAGAATCTACATTCTCATGAACTTATATGTTCTTTTACAACTACTTAGCACCTACTAGAAACCAATAACACATTGAATGAAAATTAATCAGATGGCTGAGAGATAATATGATACTTGACCTGATTTGGGTGTAAGACAACAGTATTAACAGCAGCACGACTTTCATATTCCATTTGACAACCTGCAGCCCTGCATTTGACTTAAAATACAAATAAGCCTGAATAACTTTCAAAATAGAGCATAGAAATACCATGATTAAATTAACAAAAGACCAACATCTACTCTCTCTGCAGAGTTTACAACTTTACCTTAAATCCCAAATCTTTACTGTACCATCCTCAGAACCTGAATACATCCAGTTTCCATCACATTGAAACCCCACTGCCATAACATTATTTGTATGCTGATCATAGCTCAGCACCTGCCTTGCAATTTTTTAAAAGAACAATCCCATCAGTCAAAGAAGAAAAAAAATAACAGATAAAAAGATAAGAGTTCAGAAACAAAATGAAAAAAATAGGAAAGAGACGCACAGGCTGAGGAGTGCTTGAGTTAACATCAAACAATCGAATATGTGGATTACCCGCTGCCGCCAAGTAGTGTTTATTTGGAGTTATCTCTAGCCGATTAACTTGCTGTATACATTTATACCACAAATCAAATATGATATAACCAACCAAAAAAATGAAGAGTATAACTTGATTGGAAGAGCTGAAAAATTTAAGGTAACTTCATGCAAATTAGAAACATAAAACCCAAGTAATGTCTATTACTCGCATATGGCTAAAATTTTGGGTCTACATCCACGGCTAACATTAAACTTGTAAAAAAGTTACAAGTCTATTATTCTATCTCATAACTCATATCACTACTTATCTTACATTCAATACTATAAGTTTGACATTCTAATTATAAGTTGCATATTTCTTTTGCAGCTTTGCCATTGTTTTTATATATGAAACATCTATATCAAGAAACTTCCCTTGATACAGTCGTTTACATGATTATATANGAACTTGTTAGTCAATATATCTCTAATTAATAGAATCAAATTCCTGATCCAAACATCAAAACACAGGCAGTGAAAGGCAAATATCAGGAGAATTTGCTTTCGTTTCTCTTATATGACAGTCCCCTCAAGATAAAGAAGGGGCAGTTCAGGAATCTGCAAAAACGTGCCAGCTAATTCAAATTCACATCTGTCAAAATAGACCAATATAGAAAAATAATCATCCGAAAAATATTTGACAAGTACATTTTGTTAACATTTACTCAGCACGATTTCAAAGCTGTTATTATAAGCTAATCTTTCCAATGTCCCTCATAACAACTACACTAGGAGAAATCAATTTGGCACTTTAACCTTCACACACGAGATCAGTGAATCAAAATTTCAAAAGAAAATACCGTAATCCAAAATGATTGAAAGCAAGTCAGGACAGACAGAAAAAGGAAACTTGTAACTACAAAATGGCAACTCAAATTCTCACTACAACAAGAATCTACATTCTCATGAACTTATATGTTCTTTTACAACTACTTAGCACCTACTAGAAACCAATAACACATTGAATGAAAATTAATCAGATGGCTGAGAGATAATATGATACTTGACCTGATTTGGGTGTAAGACAACAGTATTAACAGCAGCACGACTTTCATATTCCATTTGACAACCTGCAGCCCTGCATTTGACTTAAAATACAAATAAGCCTGAATAACTTTCAAAATAGAGCATAGAAATACCATGATTAAATTAACAAAAGACCAACATCTACTCTCTCTGCAGAGTTTACAACTTTACCTTAAATCCCAAATCTTTACTGTACCATCCTCAGAACCTGAATACATCCAGTTTCCATCACATTGAAACCCCACTGCCATAACATTATTTGTATGCTGATCATAGCTCAGCACCTGCCTTGCAATTTTTTAAAAGAACAATCCCATCAGTCAAAGAAGAAAAAAAATAACAGATAAAAAGATAAGAGTTCAGAAACAAAATGAAAAAAATAGGAAAGAGACGCACAGGCTGAGGAGTGCTTGAGTTAACATCAAACAATCGAATATGTGGATTACCCGCTGCCGCCAAGTAGTGTTTATTTGGAGTTATCTCTAGCCGATTAACTTGCTGTATACATTTATACCACAAATCAAATATGATATAACCAACCAAAAAAATGAAGAGTATAACTTGATTGGAAGAGCTGAAAAATTTAAGGTAACTTCATGCAAATTAGAAACATAAAACCCAAGTAATGTCTATTACTCGCATATGGCTAAAATTTTGGGTCTACATCCACGGCTAACATTAAACTTGTAAAAAAGTTACAAGTCTATTATTCTATCTCATAACTCATATCACTACTTATCTTACATTCAATACTAAAAGTTTGACATTCTAATTATAAGTTGCATATTTCTTTTGCAGCTTTGCCATTGTTATTATATATGAAACATCTATATCAAGAAACTTCCCTTGATACAGTCGTTTACATGATTATATATAAAAAAAAAAATGACTAGCATAAAATAATTTTATATGCAAGAACACTTGTATTCACAAAAATCAATTGAGGATGCAAGTTCACACAGTTACCGATATGTGTAGAACAAATATTAACAAATCAAAGCGACTTATAATCATGAAAAAAAAAAAAAAAAAAACAAAAAACTGAAACGACCAAAGGATCATAGGACAGAAGGACAAACAGAATCTGGGTATTGAATAGTACGGTAGCAGCGCCCGCTTTTTGCCTCCCAAAACTTAATTGTGTGATCATAACTAGCTGTTGCGAGTATTACTGACGGTTGTGCCATCTTGATCACCGCCTAATCAAGATTATTAACACCTCAGTTAGCCAAAACTAATTCAAAACTCATGACCAAAACAAAAAAAAAGAATCAAAAGAATTGGGATAAGCGTTTTTAGGAATTGCAGAGAGAGTTAGGCATTAATTTTTTCTTTCTGGGTGAGGGTATAAACCCAAACCCTTCCTGTAAAATATTACTAAAAAAGACAACGTGTTTGATATTTTTAAAAGGAAACCAAATTGGTTTTTATTTCACACCCAATCCACTAAACTCTAGTTCTTAGATAAATTTTATCAAACAATTGACGTGCACATATTTTTCAGCTTCATCAACCCAACATTCTAATCACCCAAAGCATAAACCATCTCATTCTTGATGGTAACATACTTACGTTTTTGTACTCCGTCAAGCCCTTTCACAATTAGTTTCTATTTGAAGATTAGGGCAATAATGGCCAATCCCGAAGCATAATCTCCATAGCTGTTAAACCAAGAAAAACAAAGGAGTTGGTGGTTGGGTGTCAAAAGAACTGAGGCAATTTCAATGGATCTATTATGTAAGAGTGGTGTACTAATTGGAGGAACCCAACGAAACCATTACGTTGATGTATTTATTAAGATGAAAAAAAAAGAGTACATCGAATTTGACAGACTTGGCAGTTGGTAATATATATATATTTTTTAAATGAGTAATGCGAAAGTTATCGACTGTCATGTATCGAATTTGTGTATCGAATGACGTGATAAAATCTTGATCATTTATTTATTATTAGTTAATATTAATCAATTGTCAGGATTTTATCACGTTATTCGATATACAAATTCGATGTAAACTTTTCGATAACTCTATCATTTTTTTTTTTAAATTGATAGTCATAATGATGTCACGTCTGTTAATAAACTACTTGATATCTATTTTTCGTAATTATATCATTTTTCATTTCTTAATGAGCTTTTCCCACTTACCTCCAATGTTTGAATTTGTTTGCACAAAGACTATAACAAATTAAAAATTAACACAACATAAGTTCATAAATGAGAAAATATACACTCTTAAAGGAGTGAGTGGTTCCAGGTATTTGTTGGGTATTGCTGAGAACTGCAATCGGTCGGTTCCTAGCAAAAGGAAATCGAAACTTGAAATGTAGGTTCTGATTTATTTCTCGGGTATCTTATAAAATTACATTAGCTCCCTATTAATTTAAAAATTAATACACCTTGATAAAATAACAAATACACCTCTAACAGTTCAAAAAATTCACTGATAGACCCCTAGCTCCTAAACCGGTTCCCCATAGGGTACCCAAATATAGGTTTTAGTTCCGGTTCCTGGTTCCAACACTACAGAAATTGAAACCAGACTCAGGGATTCCCAAATCTAATTTTCCAAAACCGAAACCTACCCTGTGAGGGAAAGTTCTAGTTCCTACCCTGAACAGGAAATTTAGGTACCTGCCAGTTTTGGGTTTATCGTTTACCCATGCTCACCCCTAGTTACATGTATTAACTTTGTGAATTATTTAGATATTATGCAAGTTTCATGTGCTTATTTGTGAACATTGATTAATTTGAGATTGAGAAGATAAGTTTAAGAATATTTTTTTTTAAAAGTAATTTTAAGGACTTAATTTCTATTGACAAATGTTCAGTTTAGTGATTTGTTATTCACTTTTATTCGCATTGTAACATATGCATCATATTTTAAGGTTAAGTTTTGAAGTACTATAAGCCTAGGTTTAAGTCAACAAAATTTTATTCATTGACTTGAGTTGTGAATTTAGTCATAAGTTGATAATTTCTTTTTTTTTTTTTTTTTTTTTGGTGCGCACAAATATCAAATATTCTTCGAATGTGTAATTTACATATACTATTAAAACTGGTGTACATTTGTTTGTATCTTATGTTCATTCATGCACAGTATTACCAATCTTGGTATCAAACAAAAGTTAGCAATCTTATGTTCATTCATGCACAGTATTACCAATTTGGTATCAAACAAAAGTTAGCAATAGATGCAGAGCTACTAAGGTTGGAAGAGGCAAAGAGTCTAAGGTTAGACTTGAACTTTACACGGATCAAGTTTTTCTTTGAGTTTGTCTGTCAAAAGTAGCTATGCTTATAATGTAGGGTTTAGAAAAGTAAGACCATTTGCTCGTGGGTTGTTAACTAGCTAATAACTAAGTGAGCGTTTGGTTCGGGGTTATAAAAGATCACATTGATAATCTATCTTTTAATCCGGCAATTACCACGTTTGGGTATTAAGTAATAAAAGATTCTGGTAATCGACCAATGCCAATAGTGATTACTATAAGTAATATAGGGGGTAATTCGATTACCGTCTAAAAGGGTGTTATTTTTTTATTACTGGAGTGATCCACTGTTCATACCAATTTTACCCTTAACTAATAAACATTTTAGACACAAATGCCTTCATACATCTACTAAATAACAATTAGCCCAATTGTGCGGAATGACTATTGTAATCTCATATATTAATTTTTTGGACATAAATACCCTTACTATTTACATAAATAATAACCAAAATACCCCCAACCACCCAAGACGACTACCTGCCGTCTGCCACCACCGTCGATCGCCATCGATAGTCATCAAAACGGCACACGAACGACTGAATCTGGTCGATCGTGCTCCGATCTGCCCGTTAATGTGTTGTTCCCATGAGTTTACTTCAAAGACAGTTGATGACTATTGCACATCAATGGGAATTGATGTTGAACATATAGTACCACAAGTACATACCCAAAATGGTTTGGTAAAACTATTACAAGAACTTCGCTATTACGTACGCAATTACATGTGTAGCATGCTTCACTGCTCCAGTGCGACTGTGCTCCCAACTCTCCCATTTGTCGTTCCCTTGCCGAGGTAAGCCACCTACTTCCTATATTTCATATTTGTTTTACAACATGTTGCTCTCGTGCTCTGGATGTTAGTTGGTTGCTTGTTCTGGTGTGTTGGTGAGAGTTGGCAGTTTGCGATTTGGTGGTTGTTGGGCGTGTTGTTGTAAGCTCTTGTCTAGACTGGTGAATGCATATTTAAGCTGGGTTTGTTTAGACTTGGGTAGGGACTGGTCCCAATCGGGTTCAGGTCTAGGCCCAATTAGGATCGGTCCTAACCGGGTTCAAGTCTAGGCCCAATTGGGACCAGTCGCTCATGGGCCCGGTCCTAAGCCCATGAGAAATTTCAAGGCCCGGATCGGTCCCTAGGACTAGTCCTGGGCCCATAGGACCGCTCCTATGGGCCTGGAAAATTTATTTCCACCCCCAACTTGTTTTATATTTAGGGGCCAAATAAGGGGGTTTATGTAATTTTTAGGGGCTTGGAAATTTTATTTCTACCCTTCGAGAGATTAGTAAATTTTTAATTAATTTTAAAAAATAATAAATTAATAAATAAATTAATGGTTAATTATAATTAATAATTATTTATAAATATGGGGATTTAAATTTAAAATTTAAAGAGATAATATAATTAATTAATTTTAACATAAATGTAATATTCACACAATCACACTTCACAAATAAACAATTAAATAAATTGTTTTTATTAAATTATTCATTGTCAACAATATTTACATCGTTCAAATCTGTGTTCCTGAAGAGTTCGAGTAGTTCGGGATCTTCAGAGTGCTGTTGTAGTCTTTTCTCTGCATAAGTCGAATCCTGTAAATACGTTATCACTTCAATCATCTCATTGATTAAAGAACATCTTCTGTCTTCAACAATCTGGCCACTCATTGAGCATGTTGACTTGGATGCAATTGTAGAAACTAGCACGATAAAATGTCACGTGCCATTTGGGCTACAATGGAGAATCAACTTTGATGTTGTTTCCACCATTGAAGCACATCCATCTCACGTTTCTCCTTTTTCGTCATGTAGGACATGTACATTTGTAGGTAGCGATTCAGCTCATTTGTTCCATGTATATTCGAGCTAGAGTTCCTACTTCCGCCTCCTTGTTCCATATATGTCCACATGCTCGATTCTTGATAGTTGTCTTCATCAAGGTCTTATTGGTCGTCTCTGCTAGATGTTCTAGTTCCATTGTACTTGCTCTAATATAAAGAAAAAAGGCTTTTCAATTTTTGCTTAAAGTTAATCAAATAATACATATAATCATGTCCTAAATGTTGGTATAGCTCAGTAACTATACAATTAACTACGTTTAATTTAAACCTAGGATTTACAACAAGGTCTAATCCATATAAGAGTGGAATATCTAAGGCCAATATTTCTCGTTTTTTTTTTCCATCTTTGAAACAATTTCCATTAAGACGTCATTATATCTATATTTAGCAAAAGTTTTAGAAATTTGAAGTAAAATATCTAATGCTAAATTAGTAGTAGAATAATAAATACCACTTAATGTATTAGTGGATTCATAAAAAACTTTAAGAAATGAATAAAAAAGTTCGCAAACCGTCTAATCATCATAGCTGACAACTTCTTGCGATGGTTCTTCCAGTTGATGAAATCTGTAATTTGTTTTGCGGTTGGCAAAACTTTTTCCAACATCAAGTAGGTGGAGTTCGAACGGATAGGCATGTCCGTACATAACTTCAAAGGTCAAACTAGTGGGTCTTCTTGCTTACAATATTTGATGTACTCTTGCCATCTTTTGTTGCTACCGCCGACAATGAATCCGATAGCCACGAGCACCCTCTCAATCTTCGAATTTATAGCTTCTAAACCTGCTTTAACAATCAAATTGATGATGTGGCAAGCACATCTCTAGTGAAAAAATTTGCTTTCATCACGCAGATCTAATCTCTTTTCAAATAAAAAGGTAGCCGCGATGTTAGTAACTGCATTATCTAGCGTTAGCGCTATAACTTTATCAGTTAATACATATTCTTACAAAATTTCAAGTATTGTAAAATAAACAGTGTCAGCATCATGTACAGTATATATTGGTCTAAAACCTATCAATTTTTTTGGTAAACCCCAACCATGATCTAAGTAATGTATTGTATAGTTAAAAAATCTGTTTTTGATCTACAAACCCATATGTCTGAAGTAAGTGCAATAGATAGATTCCTAAAATTTTGAAATTCGTTTTTAAGTTGAACATTTATTTGGTTATAAAGTTTTAATATGTCTCTTCTACTTGTACTTCTACTAACAGGGGCATATACTGGACAAAATACAGTTTTAATTATGTGAATAAAATAAGGATTTTCAGATAAAGAAAGGGAAGAGTCTGTAGCAACTATGTATTTTGCTATTTCCTCTCGTGCTTGGAGTACATTGTATTGCCATGTTGACAAAGTTGAGGATTAAAATTAAGTTGAGTTTGAATTTGCTTACTGGGTGTGGTTGAAGATGAATCAGACAACTGCATTATTTGGGGTGCTTCTTTTCCAAGTGTCATCGCATCGTCGAAATCTCCTTCTCAGCGCCGATAACGGTTCCACAGAAATACATACCCCGCATGATTCTTCCCCCTTCCCATTTGCCTTTGCCTTTTTTGATTTGGTGAAATGTCGCCATACATCAGACACGACTCTCTTTAACAGTCGGGGGGGTTGGGCCGTGGAGTCACAGCTCGCTTGTGTTTGATTGCACCCCATCCCAATTGAATGTGGT